GCTCCGACTCTGCTGGGGTGCAGGCCATCAGCGCGAAAAAGCCTAGGACGCTCCCAGAAAAGATTCCAATTATTAACAAAGAGCAGTTTCTGTTCTTTACACCATGACAATAACCATTCATTTAAAGCAAAAAGTCTACTGAACCTTTCGTGTCCTCGTCATTAAAAGCCGTGCTTGCACAGGTTCTGCACGATCCTCTTCAATAATATCCTCTGCTTCTCAGTCGGGCTCAAACTGATAAGCGATATTAAGGATGACATTGTTTACAATACAACCGGAGCACATGCCGCCGAGGTGAGGGGTGGGCCGTCTAAACATTTAACCCAACCGCTAGGTCAAAACAACCCAATTGCTGGGCTTGTCCCTATTTTACCCAGCACTGGGTTGTATTTAACCCAGCATTTTTTAGAGTGCAGTTTTTGAGCAACAAACTTGTTTCGTCCTGTTTTTCCACTGCAATCATGTGAGGAAATGGAGCGCTTTGAACTCCTTTGATGAGAAAATATACTTTATACATTGATTTCAATAACAGAATATGCCCATATAAAGGAGAAAAACTATTTTCCATCCAAATTACATTTTCTTTTCAGAAGAACAATAGCTGGCATTGTGAAAACTATGGCCTATAGTAGTGTTGTTCTGCATGCACACACAACTTTGCCATAGCCTACTGTTTCTTTATACCGATACTGAGATACAATAAAGGACATTTTGTGGTGATATTTACATGTACAGACAATTTAAAATATTTAATACATCAATATGTTCAAAGAGGACAATGTAACACATGTAATATCAAAAACGAGTACCATCACATACACATTTACACCGACATCAAAAACAAGAGTTGTGTTTCCAACAAAAAGCAGCGATCTAGTTCAAACATAAGAACAGCTCAGAAGAACCATCTTCAATGACTTTACAATACTCTTTTGTTTCAAATAATGTAAAACCAGCAAGTCTCTTTTGAGGTAAAAAAAAAAAAAGTGACACTTATTGATATAGGAAGGAGAAAATATATTTAATCATATTTATATGCCTCTGTGAGTGGATACAATTATTTAGCTGCAGAGGAAATTCATTCTTTTATTCATCAAGGACACAGCAAAAGTGACATTCATAATAAGATTTCTATTTCAAATAAATGCTGGTCTTTTGAATTCTCTATTCATCAAAGAATACTGAAAAAAATTTATCACAATTTCCACAAAAATATTATGCAGCACAACTGTTTTCAACATTGATGATATTTTTTTTTTTTAAATCACCATTTAAGAATGATTTCTGAAGGATCATGTGACACTGAAGACTCACTGAAGAAAATTAAGCTTTGCCATTACAGGAATAAATACATTTCAAAATATATAAAACAGTTATTTTAAAAAAGATAGTTCTTCGAAAAAATGGAAATTCTGTCATTAATTACTCACCCTCATGTTGTTCCAAACCCGTAAGACCTTCGTTCATCTTCAGAACACAAATTAAGATATTTTTGATGAAATTCGAGAGCTTTATGACCCTCCCATAGACAACAACACAACTGACACGTTCAAGACCCAGAAAGGTAGTAAGGACATCATTAAAATAGTCCATGTTACATCAGCAGTGTTGGGGAAAGTTACTTTTAAAAGCAATGCATTACAATATTGCGTTACTCCCTAAAAAAGTAACTAATTGCGTTACTTACAGTAGTTACCTTTTATGGAAAGTAATGAGTTATGTTACTTTTGAGTTACTTTTTAAATCTGGGCAGGGTTTGCTTGTTTGTTTTTAATATAAAAAGTTGCACAAAAGTGAAATGTAAATTCATGTCTGTACAGTAGAGGGCGCAGCTCAAACAAATTGCATGAAGAATATGACGCAGGAGAAGAAAGTTCAACACTATTCAGCAATAACAAAAATGAAACACAAATGTCTCATTTTTGCTTATTAGTATGGTTGAATTGGATCATCAAAGGTCAGTAGCAAAGACATTGGTTAATAAAATGGGATTAAATACATAAATGATATTTGTCTTATTTAACATTTAATTATTAAAGGTTTGTATAATATTCTGAGTTTGCATTTGACTGTTTTATTCATTTTGAGGATTACTGATTCTGTTTTTGTGATTCTCAGATTCTTGGCTTTGTGATGTCACACAGACCCAGACCGCTCCCACGATTGTTGATTGACACTAGCGTTGACACTACCCACCCCGTGATCCAGCCTCACCTACAGAAAAAGTGAGTATAATTTTTTTTTTTAATCTTTGCAAATCGCCTTTCCTAATAATGTGCTAGTTAGCAAGTTTCACAATGAATGCAGTTAAAGTTTACAGTCTCAGAGAACGGCTCCTGACCCCACGGAAGAGAGGGGCGGGGTGAGCAGAGCTCATTATCATTTAAAGAGACATGCACCAAAATGGGTCGCTGTAAACAGAGCTGTTTTTTACAGGGTAAAAAGGGTGTTGTTTTACACTACCATTGGGAAATTTTAACCAAAGTATGTTATGGAATTTTTTCCTTTGCGCACAAAAATTATTCTCGTAGCTTCATAACATTACGGTTGAACCACTGATGTCACATTTTAACGATGTCCTTGCTACCTTTCTGGGCAAACGTGGTAGTTCTCTTGCTGTCTATGCAGGGTCAGAAAGCTCTCAGATTTCATCAAAAATATCTTAATTTGTGTTCCGAAGATTAACGAAAGTCTTGCGGGTTTGGAACGACATGAGGCTGAATAATTAAGAATGTATTACAATTTTCATTTTTGGGTGAACTAACCCTTTAAATGGACAAAATAAGTCAAATGAATGCATCCTTGGTAAGAAAAAGAGACTTATAAGTAGCCCTATTTTACAGAAAACAAATGGCTGTAAATGCTACTGCAAGGTATTGAATCACTGCAATGTAACAGTGTTGCTATAATTAGTTGGTGTATACTTCATACCTCTTTCACCGCACAAAAATATGCCAAACTGTGCCAAAAAATAATTCAAACCACAAACTGTTAATGAGCAATTCTGCAAGACTCTTCATAGACATCTTTTCAGCTGTATGTCAGTACCATTTCAGTGCACAGCCACAGTAACCGGCAGCAGCTCGCGGGAGGACTGAGACTGCTGCACTCCGTCAGGGGCCAGACGGAGACTGACACTCCCCTCGGCCGGATCAACCCGGAAGTCTTTGTGCGCCGGACGGATGGCTACGATGAATTGTCTTTTGAAGGTTTCGCTCAGCATGATGTAGAGCAGCGGGTTGATGCAGCTGTTGGCGTAGCCCATGCTAATGGCGACGTTATAGGCGTACAGAAAGGCATAACTGGGCCGCTGCACGCTCAGATGTGCCAGTTGCAAGATGTAATGAGGTGCCCAGCAAATGAAGAACGCCAGGCATATGGCGACGGCCATCCGAGTGACCTTTCTAGTGCGCACACGAAGGCTGTGCTGGGGAAGTGGAGCCACCGTGGCGGCCATGTTCTGGAGGATCTTGAAAAACACCACGCAAATGATCACCAATGGTAAAGCGAAAGCCAGCACAAACTGGTAAAGAGTAAACCAATACGTGTCTGTGGCCGGATTGGGAAGGAGCAGAGCGCATCCCACCGATCCGTCCCGCAGGGGCATGAGGCCGGCGTACATCCACACCGGCGTGATGGACAGCAGCGAGAGGATCCACACCAGGCCCACGACCGCCACGGCCACGCATGGAGTGCGTATGTGGTTGAAGCGGATGGGATGAACCGTGGCCAAGTATCGATCCAAAGTCATGACCGTTAAAATGTAGGTGCTCACGATCTGGCTGTTGGAGTCCAGCGCTGTGATAACTGTGCACATGGTGGCACCGAAACACCACGAACCGTTTCCCACCAGCTGGTGGATGAGGAACGGCATGCCTAGGAGAAACAGAAGATCTGCGATAGATAGGCTGAAGATGAAGATGTCAGGCACCGTCTGTTGCGCTCTGAATTTATTTTTTTTGACGATGGTGTAGATGACGATGCAGTTGCCTATTATGCCGACGAAGCAGATGACTCCATAAATGCTTGGCATGAGAACATTGTGATACTGTTCGTCAGTGTCTGCAGGAAAAAAGAGAATATTTTACAGTATCAAGATACATTTAAAAAAAATCCACTTTCATTTTAATTCTTCTTTTTTAAATTTAATTTGAGCTTTTTGAGAGTGTGTGTGAATATATATATATATATATATATATAATAAAGAAATAAAGAGTTTAATTTTGTAAGAACGTATTAAATTGATCAAAGATGACAGTAAATATATTTATAATATTATGAAAGAATTCCATTTCAAATAAATACTGATATTTCAAACTTTCTGTTCATCAAAGAATCCTAGAAAAATGTGTCACAGTTTCCACACAAATATTGAGCAGCTTACTGTTTTTACCATTGGTTAATAAATAATAAGAAATGAGCAGCAAATCAGCATATCATATGATTTCTGAAAGATCATGTGACACTGAAGGCTGTAGTAATGATGCGACAGGAATAAATTACATTTTTAAATATATTAAAATAAAAAAACAGTTCTTTGACAATATAATATTATTCCACAATAATACTGTTTTTACTGTATTCTTTATCAAATAAATGCAGCCTTGGTGAGCATAAGAGACATCTTTCAAAAACATTTAAAAAAAAACATTATCTTACAACCCAAACTTTTGAACAGTAGTGTAAATATTTAACTACTAAATTATTATACATAATAAATTTTCACATAATAAACTAATTTTAACAATATTTCTAGGCATTAATTTATGTGGTAAGTAGCCATATAATAAGCAGGATATTATCACACAATAAGCCCTGTCAGAATGATTCAGGTCCTCTCAGTCTCAGGGTCCTGATCATCCTGTCATAATTACTGAACATTATCCCAGCCACAAAGCCTGTGAATCAAGAGCTAGACACAAGCAGAGAACCGCAAATTAATCTAATTAAGACAATGATGCTATAAAATGTAAGAGCTACTTGACCCTTAAAATGTCTTTTGTTGGTCTAACCTAATTAGTCATTGATAAAGCCTGTTATTTTGCAGCATGACGCACATTCAGGTTGCCAGACAAGAATATTATACAGTGTATTTACCTGCATTTAAATGTTGAGATGAGTTAAACTCCTCACTGGAGTTCTCAGTGGAGGTCACGATAAAATCCATCACAAACTTGACCATAAAACACAAATGCACAGATGTTATTAACAACAGGCTCCTATCTGTCATATGAGATTTGATTACATTTCAAGATATTAGTGACATATTAAGAAAAATGCTTACATATTAAGAAAATATATTTGTCACAACATCTGACTAATTAATTCTAAACAATCTTACATACTTAGACTTATATTAAACACTTACTGAGGTCTTTGTAAACGGTCACATCTGTACACTGGAAAAAACACTAAACCAAGCATGTTATCTTATGGATTTGTCCAAAACCTTTCCGGCTTTTCAGGATTATAATTGGAGTTTGTTTTTGGATCATGCTCGCTGTTGCCCTGCGGTCTGTTTGTTTTATTGACAACAGTGTTTTGGCATCTTCATTTTTAGATTTTCCCTAAATTTTCAAACTGGGGACTCCCAGTGGGCCACAAGAGGGTGCTGTGTGTCCACAGAGGAAAACAGGAAAAATACTAAGATTTTATAGGGTGTTCGAGTTAAAATGGTCAATTATTAAATAAATGTCTAATGCGGTGATTTTTTTATTATTATTAATTTACCGAATTTATTTTTTTACCATATAAAATATTCTCACTTTTTATCCTGAGAATTCTGAAATGAGAATGGACAATTTATACATATTATACTGAATAGAAAAAAGATGTCAACATCTTTCAACAAACAAACTACAATTTCTTAGGATATTTTAATAATCTATTTTGCCTTTTCTTAGGCTATCATTAGAAGAGCTAGCCTATGTAAAATCAATTTTTACTATTTTTCTTAGATGTACATGAAAATGTATACTGCCATATCATCATTTATACCCTTGAAATAAATGAATTTATAAATATTCATATACCACAGTATTTACATGGTACTTCAACATAGTATTATATTAAATATTATGATGAAATAATGACATGGTACATGGCACACAAACACTTTTTGGTACTTTTGGTTAGTGTAAAACACCAAATGTCATCTCGTTTTTCATGAACCTACCTTTATCTGATTATCTCCAGTGGTTTGAGGAACACTGCAGGTATAGAGGTATCTCTTTGCCTTGAATTTGTCCTCTGAAACGCATGCCACTAGTTGACATGTCCTCAAACGCGCTCTTCACGACATCGCCAATATGTGCGCTAATGCACACTTGAACGCTTCATGGTCTGATTAAAACGTCTCTCCGGCGAGGTTAACGCTCTCGTTCTTTCCCAATTAACAGAACATCTGTGAGGCTTGCTGGAAGAAGGAGTTATGTGTGATCTGAAGAGTCGAGCTCGATGTAGCGTCTGATTTGCTGCCTGATGCTTATTATGATCCTGCTGACGTGACGAACATCATCCATCTGGGCACTTTGGGCTTCACCACGGTTTAAAGAAACAAGAAACTGCACAGAACTGCTAGTTTTGCTATGTAAATCCTGGAGGGGATTGATCAGCCAACGCGTTAAACTCACATACTGAAGCAGTTAATCTATGCCAAAATGAACAGCAATATGATAGTATATTTTCGTAAGTCTATTTAGACTGCATGAAAGTGATATATAATAATTTGCATATTTACAAAAATATTTCAGCCAGAATGTCATGTAAGTGTCATGTAGGCTACATGCATTAACTAAATGCCATTAATTACACATATTATTATACCACATATTAATCATAACTCTGAGTCTTGTAAACATCTTTTTTTCGGAATATCCAGTGTATTTATTTATTTATCCGAAGGTAGCCTAATTCTGGATGGGCCTATTATTAGATACCTACAGACAGTTCATAAAATGTGCATATATACATATATATATATATATATATATATATATATATATAT